TATCGACGTCGTTTCGTTACGATAGTGCTCATTCGCACATTCGTTCCTTATCTTTCCTCGAATCGAGTCGCATCGCGCAAAGTTATCTTTACATCGAACTAAAGACAGATAGATTGATTTCTGGATGAACCCCTCTCGCAAAATTCAGCTTCGAGCTTTCCTCGTTGTTTAATCTACGGCGCGAGTTCATAGATGGAGATAATTACTCGTAAAGTTGACTAAAATTACGCTGGATTGTCTAAATTTAGAGATCCGCTAAAAAAACTGAGGACAGTGTCTGAAACAAATTTACAACTACGTCTCTGTAGAAAAGACTTTTCTTTACAACTCTGTCCGTTAATATTGACGAATTGATTTAAAACGAAGCACGTCCAAATTTTTATTTCAGTTAATGAAGCAACCGCAAAATCAAATTGTTCTCTACCTCACGTACACGCTCGCGCCGGCCGACGATGGATTCTCGCACGGTGTTGGTTACGTTGTTAATAGAAATCCTCGAATTAGAAGTTCCGCAGTTAGGTATACTTGCCTGGTGGTCGGCGAGTCCTCCTTGCTGCCGCGTCTGGCCTCCGCGCTTCGAGCAAGCAGCGGCCCGATGTCAGTTCTGGCCATCGCCGATTCGTTCCTTTGACGATCTTGGACAGTGTTCGACGCTGGCGTCGTCGACGTCGTGGTCGTGGTCGACGGGTGAGCGTCGGTTTCCGACTCTTCCTCGGTCTCGGACTCCGTCTCCTCGGAGGAGCTGCTCGTCTCCTCGTCCTCGTCCTCCTCTTCCTCCTTCTTCTTCACGGTCGCCTCGTCTCGCGCCGCCGGAGGCGGTTGCGCGGGCGGTGGCGGAGCTGCACGGTTACCTAGCACGAGACACGAGAGAATTCTCAGGCACAGCCAAATAAATATCAACGCGCAGTTCCGCGTCCCGGCCCTCCAAGCCGGAATTACGCTTCTGAGGGACGTTATTTGAATGCAGGTGGACTCGTTTAGCGATCTCGAGATGAATGATAGGGTCTCTTTTACCTTGGATCCTTGCGCCGATACTTGACGTTTTTAGACTCTTTTAGCTCTCCACGTTCGTGAAAGTGACTCTCGCGTCGATATAACGATGCATTTTTCGACTGAACGTAATTTGCGAACGGGGAGGGAAAGTGGAACGTTCTTTTCTCGGTTTCTTCGTATTTAGCTGTGATTGTTAATTTCAGAGGACACAATCTTAGAGAAATTTCGTTTCATCTGCTAAACGTTAACAACGAGTACTTCACTTTGCATTTTGCTCGCATTCTGCGGATATTTCCCTTCTTAAATATTCCAAATGCATCATGAATATCCGTAGCCAACGCGGAGATAGACGGGAATACATTTCGCGGTGAATTTTCTCATTAACCATTTCTCGTTTGCCATTCTCCCTTTTATAGTCTAAAATACGACCTCCTGCAAAATTGTAACTATTACATTGATGGAAATGGTATCTTGCGCGTTCGATGTTACTAATGTAATTTTATCTCCTCGCGTGTAATGCACAGTTACAGTGCATTTGTTCGATGAATTCTAAAATTATCTAAATAGAAAGAAAGTGTTGATCGTATGATTAGAAGCAGGTAATCAAAGAGTATCGACGCAAGAGCCAATTGTAAGAGAACAAGATATATATTTCACTTTCGATTCGAAAGGCGTTGAAGCGGCCACTCACCTGCGCTTAAAAAACGGCTCTGAAATGATCGCGACGAGGGAGCGTTGGTGTTGGTGTTGGCGTTGGCGTTAGCATTGGTGTCCTTGGGGGTCGGTGGCGTGCCGCTGTGCGGCGACGAGACGGTGGATGTTGCGTTCGACGCCGGTGCCCTCGACAAGTATTTCTGCTTCATTTCCTCGGCGGTGAATGGCGCGCCGGTGCTGCGGATTCCCGATCCTCCGGAGCTCTCCGAGCCGGTGCTCGAGTCTGATGAAGCGCTTCTCGTCGCAGGAGTGTGGGTATCCGTCGAAGTTCTCCTACGAGCAACGATATTTCAATTAACGACTTCCTCGAGTCGGTAAACTCCAGGGGAGAGCAGAGCAGAGCAGAGCAGAGTAGAGCAGCGGGTGCATTCGTATGCCCGTAATTTCTACCGATGATATTAGTTTACATCGCGGCTCCGCTTCCCGCCCCGTACTGAATTATTTCATCCATTTTATGGCCGTGCGTAGAACGCTACACCATTCTACCGCGAAATCGCGGTACAGACTTCTGGATAAACGATCAACAGCGGGCAATAGTTGCGGAATTGTTGGACTTGGAATTGCTGTTAATATACGGGAGAAATAACATGGTAGCATTTAAATTTCACCTGACGTAGTTTGGCAGTTAATGCTGTTAATTCAACGAATTAGCATTTGAAAGTTTCTCGTCGAGGAAAAGGACAGATTTTTCATTTTCATCCGTTTGAACTTTCTGAAGATGGACATTAATTCACATGCTCTGTTCGTATGATGTAACATTATTATACAACACGGAACAAAACGACAAAGTTTTAAATATTTTCATAATATGTCTAACAATCCAGCAATTACAGCGTGGTACTACATTATGAGACTCGGGTGAAACCACTCGCAGAACTTGGAACATTCCGTGGAACCGATTGCTTTCTACCGAGTGGGTATAAATCAGCCTGTCTGACTAGACACGCGCCACTACTACTGAAACGCGTACCGACCGAGATCCGTGTGACTTAATGTTGCAACGGAATTCGATCGGATTATATATTTTCCTACCAGTCATAGGCAACTGCGTCGTCTTAGCGAGTTTATCGTACTGATAAATCGCGCAAGGCGACGCATCGAGTATTAAGTGATTCTGTAGTAACTAAATGTGGTAACTAACGAAAGTATTCGAACGTAACGATTAATAAAATAAATTTGTACGTTGAACTAATTTCCTCGAGACAATGCGATGTCTGTAATAAGCAGGAAGTCTCAAGATGATTTCCGAGTAAAGTCGGAAAATAATTCAGCAACGCGGGCAATAGCTGCAGCGCGTGTTACGAAAGTGTTCGAACGTTTGCATTTGCAACGATTGATAAAAGAAATCTACCTGTCAGGTGCAGTAAGGGGGCGAGTCTCGAGATTGCTTCGGTAGTTAGAAAATTATCCAACAACGTGGGCAGTTGTTACAACACGTAAGAGATACAACGATTACAACGATTAGAGATCAGAGACGATTTGCGACTAACAAACTCGGTGAGTTTCGCGTTAATTGCACACGTTGCGTGTAATTGTCAGAACGTACCTGGCCGGCATCGGTCTTCGCGCGGGTTCTTCCGGTTCTCGTTCGGCGGGCGCCTCCCTCGGGGGTGGATGAGCAGGTGCAGGTGTCGGTGCCGGTTGTCGTTCCTCCATCGTTTCGGTCGCAGGTGCGGCCGCCGTTTTGTTCTGCTTTTTAATCCTGGAAATCTCGTCGTCCTCGCTGGTTTGCCTCGCCATCGCTGTCGGCACTTTTCTCACTTGCACCTACGCGCGACAGAAAGAATATATTTAACCGGTAATAGGTGGCGTGGAAATCTCGTCGTTGAATCTTCGGGATCGTGTGATTC